TTGTTATGTGCCTTAGGAGAACTCACCCCTAAAAGCTAGCTGTTAGAGGAGGGAACCCAAGCACATATATACCCCACCACAGCATCCCATTCTACCGAAGTGGGATACCTCACATTAGCATCCCATACTACCAACATGGGACAAATGGATCGTAACATCCCACCACGTTTCCGCAGTCCTGGCGTGGGATGTTACGATCCATTTGTCCCATGTTGGTAGTATGGGATGCTAATGTGAGGTATCCCACTTCAGTAGAATGGGATGCTGTGGTGGGGTATATATGTGCTTGGGTTCCCTCCTCTAACAGCTAGCTTTTAGGGGTGAGTTCTCCTAAGGCACGTAAAATGGTTAGGATGATCCACTTGATCAAAACTCTGGAGTTGCTCTCCCGGTTCACCTTTGGTGATATTTGGAGGAATTGGGAAGTAGTTGCTAAAAGCTCCAAGAGAAAGGACAGAGTAGAGGTGGTCTGGATACCATCAATTGAAGGTTTTGTTAAACTGAATTTTGATGGGAACAGCCGAGGTAATCCAGGCCCTTCTGGAATTGGAGGGGTGGTGAGAGATGGAGAAGGTAAACTCATAGCACTTTTTTCTGGCCCTACGGGTATGGGTGACTCTCTCAAAGCCGAATTGCTTGCTGCAATTCAAGGGGTGCAAATAGTTAGTGAGCTAAACTTGACAAATGTGGTGATAGAAGGGGACTCAAAAGTGGTGGTAGAATGGAAGGAATCCTGAGTCTATAATTTGGTGCTACAGGAGTGAAATGAAAAAATTTACTTGGCAAACCAGGAATATGAATTTAAGAATACAACGGGTGAGAAGATCAGCAAATGGGATGGCGGACGCTTTGGCTAAACAAGGGGTAAAATGTCTATTTTATTCAGGGCATAGTTGTAATGTGTTTTTCTTTTGTATGAGAGGTAGCAGCTCATGCCTCTCTAAGGGATGATTGTAAAGATTTTACATAAGATTCTTTAATAAAACTAAATTTATTCATAAAAAAAAAATCCTGTGTTCAGCCGCCACTACAATGGGACCCACAGAACTTTTTTCCAGATAGTACCTAGAGAGTGGGTAAGTTACTTACCTACCCACCGAAAACTCAAATCGCATGGATTCTTGCGCCTTACCTGGGTAACTTTTCGCCAGGCAAACGCTGTATTTGTGAGTGCCCAGGCAACGTTTCCCCAGGAATCACTTGCCCAGGGAAACGTGTTACCCAGGTAATAGAAAACTAACAAGGCCTAAATGAAAAATCCACTCCGGATGCCAAGGATATGCCTTTCCCATGAGCTATTGCAGACTCCAAGGGCCATAACCAAAATTATTCATCCAACTTATAGGAACTTGAGAGCTTCCTTCTACCTCCACTTACTTAAAGTTAAAACCAATCAAAGTCTAAAATGTTTGAAATATTTTCTAATATTTTCATGATGTATTTCCATTTTTGTGCGTACTGATGTGAAATATTTTAGAATTGGCATACTCCCTAATGAGAACCACCTCCACCCACTTAAACTATTCATTCAACATATAGCAAATCAAGAGCTTCCTTCTACCTCCACCTACTTAAAAGTTAACAGATCAAAGTTTAAAATGTTTGGCATATTTCCTAATATTTCCATGACATATTTCCATTTTTGTTGATACTGGTGTGAAATATTACTAGAATTGACATACTCCCCAATGAAAACTACCAAGACTACTACACAAAATGGTATCATAACACGATGGGTCAGCAATGGTATTAGAGACATGTGGAGCAGCAGAATTATTGCTTACCTAATGGATTGACGAGAAGACTAAGGTACTCAAAAGGTGCCTAGAAACCTATCTAAGATGTTTCACCGGTGAGAAACCCCACCAGTGGGCCCAATGTTGCTGTGGGCCGAATTTTAGTATAATAATACCTTGTTTCAGTTGGATGCTGGGATGACCCCATTCAAGGCTCTCTACAAGAGGGATCCACCAGCCATCCTCTCCTACAAGAAGGGATCTGATGTTGCTTGGTAGATGAGAATCTAATGGCCAAAGATGACCTGCTCAGGTCAATCAAGTCCAATCTTGAGAAAGCCCAGCAACACATGAAAGCTGCCTATGACAAAAAGCATTGCATGGTAGAATATCAAGTGGGGGACTTGGTTTACCTAAAGCTTCAGCCATATCGTCAAGCATCACTAGAAAAAAGAACATGACACAAGCTGTCTCCTAGATTCTATGAGCCTTCCAAAATCACTGAATGAGTGGGGACAGTAGCTTACAGATTGAAATTACAAACCATGTCCAGTCTACACCCAGTGTTTCATGTATCACTCCTCAAGAAGAACCTGTTGCCCAACTCAGTGGTTGCCTCCGAACTTCCAAAGTTCTGAACAGAAGGCCACTGGCCACATGGTAACTCAACCCCTAGGTATTCTCAACTACAAATGGGTCAAGACCGGAGGGAATATCATCCAAGAGGCCCTTGTATCATGGGCAGGACTCCTACTGGAAGAAGCTACATGGGAACCCCAGAAAGCTCCAGCCCAGCAGTATCCACACCTTGGCCTTGAGGACAAGGTCCATGTTAGGACCCCAGTTACCAGCCTAGAAGCCCAAGACCAACTAGAAGGGACCCTAATATCAAATGGGAAGAAAGTCATCATTGTTGAGCAGTAGAGACTAGGTCCATGAGCCTGGCCAGTTAATGCTCCAGTATACATTCGAAGGAAGCCTCATCACATCAACTAATCGGTTAAGGCCTGCATCAAGGAAATTGGAGTCAGTTATGATTTGTAATAAAGAATATATATAGGAGAGAGCATGGAAAAAGATATGAATGCAGAATGTTTTCCTTTCTCCACCGTCTTCTTTTCTGTAGGAGGGTGTGTTTCCCTCAAAGAAACACCTATATTGCAGTAACCCAACAGTGTAGAAGCTGGATGTCGGTGTCTACAATAACTCCATCCTTCTCGGTTGTCATTAATGGAAGTCCTCAAGGGCATTTTCAAAGTTCCAAGGGTCTTAGACAATGAGACTGACTATCTCCTTGCCTATTTAATTGCGTAGTAGAAACTCCCAACAGAATGATGGACAGATCTGCAAGCTGTGGTTTCTTTAAGGGTTTCCAAGTGAATGAGGAGGCAAGAAGAATACCTTTGTTAAAATATGCAGATTACACCATCTTTTTTTGCAAAGTAACAAAGGGTCAAATGTTGCATTTAATATGTATTTTATCATGGTTTGAGTGGTTTTGAGGTTGACGATGAATTTGCAAAAAAAGTGAGTTTATGAACATTGGGCAGGTTCAAGGGATTGAATGCTTGGCTGCTGCATTGGATTGCAAAGTGGGCTCATTGCTAATAAAATATCTTGGCTTATGGATTACCCTTAGGTGTGAAATGCACATCAAAAGCTATTTGGAATGGTAATTCTAGAGAAGTTTGACAAAAGGTTGGCATCTTGGAGATCTAGATATCTATACTACTATTAAAAGTGTRAATGAGATCTAGATTCTATACTTTTTTTGACTAAAATATCCCTATTTTTCATTCTATTCTCTCAAAGCCCTATATTTAATGTATTAACTCCCATAACCTGTCATTAAATCCTATATTTAAGGTGCATTAAATGTACGGTCTGTGTAATCTTTCCTTGACTAAAATGCCCTTACTTATGAATTTGGTCCCTCTCTAACTATACGGACACTCTTACTTTCCACTTCATTCAATTCCCTCTTATTGAGGTGTTCACTTCCATTCTTTCTCTTCAGATACTTTATTTGAAGTACTTTTGCTTTTCACCAATAAATTCTACAAATTAAATCTATATCCAATATTTTCGATAATATAAAACATGTGTTCAAAACCAACATGAAAAATAAACTACCATTTCATCTCATTGTCTAGGTGGTGGATAAGTAGTTCCCCATGCCAAATGGGTCAACCAATGGTCTCAAAGTCAAGTGAACAATTTAAATAAATATAAATATAAATATTACAAAAATTACAAAATTTTGTGAAAAATCTTAGGCACATCTCTTTTATTATATATTTATCATATTAAACAACCATAAATAGGATAAGCAAGAGATATTTTTATTAATGATTGAAACGAAATACATGATTTAAACAAAACCATTTTCCTATTCAAGTGGTGGGTCAATGATTCAACCTTTTAGGTCAAATGTGTCAACCCATGATGTTATTAATTAAATGATAAAAATTTTAAAAAAGATATAGACACAAAAATTATTAAAAATATAGAAATTTGTAAAGAACATGTGGGTGCATCTCTAATATTATGTATTCATCACATAAACAATAGTGTGATAAATAAGAGTTATTTTTTAATAATGATAGGAATAGAATTAAAAACAAACTAACTTGAAAAGTAAACTGTTTTATAGGCATATAAATTGGGCAGGCTTAACTCAAGCCCAAACCAACCCAGCTTGTAATTTTTGCTAGGTTGGCTTGGATTTTTGGCCCTTGAGCTGGGCCTAAGCCTAACCCTTAGGTAGCCCAAGTTAGGCCTGACTATTACATAGACACATTTACATACAAGCATGCATACATAATTATACACATATTTATGTCAGTTTTTGCCATGGGCTGATTAACAAACCCAAGTCCAAGCCCACCCAAGTGCATCAAATTTCAGTGCGGGTTGGGCCGAGGTTGGACAGATTAAGCTTGACTTTGGTCTCAAGCCTTAGGCCAAATGCATAGAGTTGGACCTGGATTGAGCTTAAGATCAGTCCGACCTATTTGACTTGCACTATAACAGTATAATCGTTTGGGTAAGATGGGTCAACCAATGCTGTCATAATTAAATGATAAAAAATTGATAATTATATAATGAAAACTCAAAAAAATAGATAGAAAAAATTATACAAAAAAAACATAAATTTGTCTATAAAATGTGTGCACATCTCTAATATTATATATTTATTATATTAATAAAAAAAATTGATAAATAATAAGTATTTTTATTAACAATGAAAATGAAATGCAAAATTTTAATCCACTAGTACACCGAGCTTTGATTACTTATTTTTTAATGGGTTCTGACAAGGATATTGAGATTATTATTGTTATCTGAAATGCCACATGCAACACATGTGCATATTTACTAGTCTATCAAAGGGAGGTAAAATCACATTGCTGAAAAGTGTTTCGTCATCAATTCAAAAATTCCAACTTATTTTCTGTGGAGGGGGTGGGAGGAGGAAGAGAAGAATCATTAATTGGAAAAAAAGTATGCTTAGCAAAACAAAGGGTGTTGGGGGTTGGGTTGGGCATCAGAAAGATCAAGTTAGTGAACCTGGCCCTTTTTGGCAAATGATTCTGAAGGTTCAACACTTAAAAGTAGAAGTTTGTGGAGGACGGTTATCGAAGCAAAATAAGGGCTGAGGAATCTAGGCTGGGACCCTGAGGAAGCTAATGGACCCCTTGGCTGCTCTAATTGGAAAATATTTGAGAAAAGTTATGTTGAGTTTTCAAAAGACATTAAGTATAAAGTGAGAGGTAGGAAAAAGGTGAGGTTTTGGACAGATGTTTGGTGTGGAAACAGTCTTTTATTGGAAGAGTTCCCAACCTTGTACAATATTGCTAGCAATAAGGATGCTTTGGTGGCAGATTGTATGGATATTACCAATTGTCAGGTGGTTTGGTGTCCAGCCATGAGAAGGAATTAAATGATTGGGAGACTGACAATTGGGTGGAGTTGCTCAAAGACATTGAACAAGGTACACCCCAACATAGCTTGTTTGGATACTAGAGTCTAGAGGTGGGAGAGCCCAGGGTTGTGCTCCATCAGATCTTTCCTTGAGAAGATTTATCAGAACACTGATTCTGGTTTTCCTAGCAGGAAGATAATGGGTGCCTCACATTCCTTCCAAGGCTGCCCTTTCAGTGTGGACTGCAGTCTTAAATAAATGTCTCACTTGAGACAGCCTCACCACGAGGGGGATGCAGATTGACTCAGTTCTTTGTGTAATTTGTTGCATGGAAGTTGAGACTGCAGATCACTTTTTGTGTTCATTGTCAGATGGCATGGTCATGTTAAGGTTTCAAAAGCTGTTTAGGTAGTCATATGTATCCCAGACAGGTTGGGAGTTCTATTTCTATGCTGGAATAAAATTAGTTTATCAAAAATAAAAAGAAAAAGAAATGGAAATGGAAAATGGTGTGGAGTTGTATTCCTGCATCTATCTATCCTATGGAATATTTACAAAGAAAGGAACTCTCACATTTTCAGGAATGTGGCTTACAGCAATAAGGAGTTGTTGGCCAGGATAACTGGATCGGTAATATCATGGTGCCTAGTCCACAAAGAATTTTTTTGGTGTGGTCCACAACTCTATGTTGGATTTTTTACAAGTAAAAAGAATTTTTTATTAATGAAAAGGAAAAAACAATCTCAACAGGTATCAAGGTAACACCAAGAAACTATAACAACTCAAAACAAGTAATCAGAATTACAAGCTTGTAACCCAAGCACATCCCAAAATCCATCCCCCAAATCTGTTCTGCTAACTTGTGCAAATTCAGGAAGGATTAGCACCCAATCGACACTGTCTTGCCACTCCATTTTGGATGTTGAACAGATGTATAAATATACATAGATAGATACAGTCGTAATTCCCCTTGTATGGAATCTTTCTGTACTCAGGTTTTACTTTTAATGAATATACATTACCTTTTCTAAAAAAGTCAAGATAAGACCCCTCAACTATCCTTCCATTTATCTTTCTTTCTTTGTGCTTATTTTCTGTTTCACTCAGTTCATTTACTTAGTTTTGTTCTCTTAACCTTGAAACCTATTCCTAATTCCAATCACCACTCTCTTTCATTCACTAATCACTCACATCCTTTATCATCTATCTACTTGAAAAAACCTACCCTTTATAGCCTCTTTGAATTCTTTTCTCAATCTTAGTCTTTGATGTGAACAGCCTCCCTTCAAGTGGTTGTCCAACAGAAAAAGCATACTATGTATTTTGCTCAAGGAATTGAGATTAGGCTTGTAAAATATGTATTACCATTTTCTGATTGGTAACCAGAAACATTATTAATATGTGAAAAAGAATGTCTTACAGTACGTGTGCAAGTAAGAACTAATGGATTTACTGATCTTCAGAAAACCACATAAAAAGCATAATCAGTACAAAGCTGATGATAATTGCAATCACAATCTGGAAAAAGCAAACCAACAGACAGTATTTACTGTCATATACATGTCATATTAATAGCTAGATTATTTCATCAGATTAACTTCGGAACTTCAATGTCAAGAAATTTCTTTTCAATACTATTTCATACCCATTAAAATGGTTATGTAATACTAGAATACTATCCTAAGGTGTTCCTTCAGGACACCATCATCATCATCTAAGCCTTGTCCCAATTATAAGGCATTGGCTACATGAATCCTGTTTCGCCATTCCATTCTGTTCTAAGGTGTTCCTTCAGGACAATGATTAAAATTTTGTAATGTCTATATTTCCTCAATTCACTATTTGGTTTCATTTACATGGTTCATATTTAATCAATTATTTATGAATTCAAGAGAGTCATGCCTAATTTAGCTATGCAATTGGAAAGTTTCTTAGTTCTTGAATCTTTGGGATACTGTTGTTCTTTTCTTTTCTTTTTTCTTTTTTTTTCCTTTTTTTCTTGGCTGTGAAGTCACTATTCTCATTATTCTTTTTTTTATCAGAAGTTGATGAAAAAAATATAATACCAAGGAGAAAATGGAAAGCACCAATATTTGACAACTCCAACAGAAGAAACTTTTAGAAGAAAAGGTTGAAGGAAAAGATCATGCTACATATGGTTAGACACTGAAGAAGATCAACAAATTAGAGATCCATAAATTAGAGTGGATGAGGGTAGGTTAGAATGCTTGGAACATGTTTGAACTCAAGGCAGAGAGAGGCAGGGGCATTAGGAAGCTTGAAAGATAAATTTTGCAAGGTACAAGTGGAAGAGAGAGGAGTGGGACTTGGGAGGAATATGTGAAATGCCTGTATGTCATTTGATTTTTGGAAGAGGGCAATTATGAAGGGTTTGTTTTATTTTCTGCATTGCTAGATTAGATTGGAATTCTGGGTTTTCTCTGTGTGAAGGTTGCTATTTTGAGACAGTTTGTGCCTTTTCTTATGCAGGACTCCTTGTATAGCAGCTGGTATAGATATTTGTGCTTTGCCTTGTTTTATAGTCATCTTTTCCTTTTTTTTCTGGGTAGGCAGAGGGAGGTAGGAATCTTTTATTAAAGGGCACAATTTAGGCCAACTTAGTCAGGGTGCTTGGTATTTTTGTGGTCTTATGAGTTATGAATACTGCTGTGCTACAGTGTAGAGGCAAGATGTTTTTTGCCATTTTCTCTTTTGTTATAATTGCTGCTATTGTTATTTCCTTTGCCAATAGATGTCTTTTTACTTTCCAAGCATGAAGGGCATCCTTCTGCCGTTATCTTTCTTTTCTTTCTTTTGTCTTATTATATAATTCCTTATTAATCAAAAAGAGAAGCTAAGAATTTGTATAGGAAAATATTGTAAGCATATTGAGAGAGAGAGAGAGAGAGAGTGAGTGGGAGAGAGAGAGACCTTAAGAAAATTGAAGTGGAATGCTTTCCAGCTACTGTAATATACTGATTATCATAAAAGTGACAAAGTAGGTTAAGGCATGACTGGTTTTCCACCTGCCATCATAGAAACTATAAATCATGTCTCAAAGAAAATCAGGCTCAAGTTCAAAGTGGATTTTTGTGCATTGAGATTGAAGGAAGAGAGCAGTAAAAATGAGAGAAATGACTCCCTAACTAAATACACAAAGCCAACTTTTTTTTTTATCAATAACCGCATAATTCATTAAAAAAGGCCAACTTCTATAGAATCAAACCAGTACTGGCATAAAATAAAAGTAATAACAAGCAAGAAGAAGACATGTAGATTACCAACCAAAAGGCCCAAGATTAAAAAAGAAAAAGAAATGAAAAACAAAATATAAAAAGTGAGCTAGCCCCTAACCCCCTTGAGCTGGAGTCTAGGTACCAATCATGTCATGGTCTACAAGGGAGTGTCAATTCAAGGTATGCGTTCCTGCAGAGCTGCCAAAACATCCCATTTAAGAGGGGCCTAAAATATCTACCACCAAAAGTTACATGATTTAAACAAAATATTGTAGATTTTCCACTTATACATCTCAAATTTTGAGAGGCTCAGTTTGGGTAAAGTGCAAATACAAATATGTACACTACAAATACAAGGTTTAGATAAACCATATACAAGCTTTTGCACTGTACATATTTGTATTTGCACTATTCCCAAACTGAGCCTTAATAATTACCTTAAAACTTGAAAATTCCAATACAAACTTGTTAACTTTTTGTGAGAATGAAAAATGATTTGACTGAAGTCACATTAATTACAGTATTTTAGGACAAGAAACAGTATGGTAATAAATATTTCCTCTCTTCCCGTAGATGTAGGTTCCAAGATAAACCACATTAAATTTTTGTGTTCTTCACTCTCTTCTACATATTATTTTTTGTTATATCATATTTCTATTTCTTGCATAAAGGTTGACATGGTATCAAAACAATGGGTAAAGAAGTTTGATTATCAAGAGTTCTCGCATGTTTTGAAGTTGTATTCTGGTGTTGTAAAAGAGAATTTTTGATCTATTCTGTAGTGCCAATCTGATTCAATTTGATATTAGATTTTCAATGGCCAATTATCCTTTCTCCTTGGGTTATCACCAATGCCAATCAAGGATTAAAGTATTGGTATCGAGTAACGTATCGGACCACTTGGATACGGATACGGATATGGATACGGATATGCTTTGGAAACACATGGATACGGATGAAAAAACATGGAGACGCTTGGATACATTAGGAAATGCATATAAATTCCATAAATATATTAATAACATTACATTTAAGGTTAAAATAGTCAAAAGTAATGTATAAATGCATAGGAAATGTATATTCTAAAATTCTAATGGTATTTGTGAATAAATATATTACAATTAATATAGCAGGATGCATAGAAATCATACAATTTTTATTGATAATGTATCAATCTAGAGTCCTAAAACATATTATATAAATTTTCACAAATTAATACATGTACAAAGCTATTATATATTTTCAATTGAAGTTCAAGTCATGTCACAAAACACATGCAACTATTATATGTAATTATTATATCAATTATTTCTTATTTTTATATTTTTACATTTTAACATTAACAAAATAATCAACTAAAAATTAATTCTCAAACGTTTGGTAGATAATATTTTTATTTTTGTAAACAATAAAACTGTTACTATAAAGTGTAATTAAAATACCAACTAATAATTTATAAAAATATATAATCTTAACTTAAACTATCTCAAAGATACTAAAATTTCTAAGATACATATTGTATGCAAATTCATAATTTTTAATTACTAAAATTATTATATTAATATTAATATTTTTATTTTTATTTTTATTTTTATAATTTAATGAAATAAATTATCATTATTTTTATTTAATGCAAATTAAAATATTAATTAATAATTTATAAAAATTTTAAGATACATTTCAAATTCAAATTTATAAATTTTAAGTACTAAAATTATTATTCTATTATTAATATTTTTATTTGTATAAATTTTTGAGATTAAAAACCTTTTTGATATGAGTGTGGATTTGAGAAATTATTTACTCCATTAGTTTAAAAATATTAATTTGAATAATATTATTTCATCTTTACTTGGAATTGTTGAACATAAATATATGTTATTTGTTAGGACTACATGTAGGCATTAAATAAAGAATTATTTTATTTCACTTACTAACCAAAGCTAACAGTTGTCTTAATGGCATACGGATGTGTTCAAGTTTGATGCGTAGGGTGATTTGGGTTCAAACCGCGTCAGCCACAGTTATTTTAAATTAGACGCGCGAAAGTGTGAAAACACGAATCACCCGTGTATTGGTCCGTATCGGCGTGTATCAACCAATACAATACAATACGGTCTGATATGGATGTGTATCGCTCCGATACGGACGATTCAGAGGATACGTACCTATTTGTAGCATTTCCCGTATCTCCTATGACCGATACCGATACGATACGCCCCATATCGAGCGTAAGGTGTCGATATTTAAATCCTTGGTGCCAATCTGTATGATGATTAAATTCCAGTCAGTTTTAAAATAGTGTTCTTTGATTGGATTGAATTTTCCCCTTTTTAGGAATAATTGGATTTTCCCTTGGCCAATTATGATATGGTGATCTGAGATTTGTTTTGTTTTTATATCAAAGGAGCTACAAAGGGAAGGACCGTAGCACTTATATCCTTTTTTGGTTTGAAAGTACCCCAAAAAGACATTTAAGAGCACGAGCATCCAACTTATCCAACTCCGGACCCAAACAGTGAACAAAACAAACACAACCAAAGACATGTAGAGGCAAAGGGAACAGAGATTGAGAAGGAAAGACAATAGAGAAGTGAGAGGTGCCACTTAACACATGGGGAAATGTTGATTCCAGTAAAATTTCGTGTCGCTACCCATGGAAATGGAAATATGTCATGGAAATATTAGGGAAATTAGGGACATTTTCCCCTAAATCAAATAAAGTTCTCTTTTGCTGATCAAAAAAAAAATTAGGGACATTTTAAACCATGCTGATAACATTGAAATCACCCCCTAAACACCAAGAATCTTCCCATAATCCCTTACAACAACTCCTCCCAAAACAAAGCCCTATCTCTATACAAATTAGGGCCATAAACATTCGTCAAAACTCATTCTCTTCCATCCGATACTCTTTTTATTTTTAGGGAGACTGAAAATTGGCCTATGAACTCCTCTAGATAATCCATTTCTTCATTCCTCCAGATGACAAGAATCCTTCTAAGGCCCCCAATGAAGGTTAAAAGAACCAGCTAAGACCCCTAACTCCCTAGATACTCCTAATCCATTTTCTAACAATTTGGTCTCTTGGATCATTACCAGGTCTAGTTTTTTTTTTCTAAAAACATCCATGGTCATTCTCTTTTTTTCACTTCCTAATCCTCTTGCCTTCCAACTTATTATTTTCATTTCAGTAGCTTAAGAGTCCCTGAATTGATATCACCAAAATCACTTCCCTTTCCTTCTTTCCTTCTTTCTGTTTTCCTCCTCATAATTTATTCCCCATTTTAGTTTCTCAGTCTCACTCTTTTTTCTTTTCTTCGGTTTACCATTTTCCTCAGGTACAACTTTTGTTGCCCCAACCTTCCTTTCCTCTACCTTTTTGTCTGCTTCCCCTTCTTTCCTTTCTTGGTCTAAATTCAGCTCTCCTTTCTTAATTTCACCCAGGTATAGCTTAGGTTCCTAAACTTGGGTAGCAAGGTGATCTAACCCAGAACCCAAAGACTCTTTCTCTACCTCTAGGGCTGCTAGGCTCTATAGGATTAGGTTCAGAATTCTTCCCCTTTCTTCTTCTACACTGCTGTCCCGGAGATTCCCAACCCCTAATTCATTGGCACTTGGAATATAAGCATTATGGGAAGGCAAGGCTCCAGGTGGTCCTACAAGAACATAGGGAACATCATTAAGGGTAGAGGGGGAAGGGACAGGGTTAGAGACTCCCTGTCCAATAGGGTGGGGAAAAGCTTGTGAAGAATTGAGGACACAAAAGAAGGAGATGCAAGAGAAAACACCCTTTGGACAAGGAAACCATATTCTCCTGTCATGCTTAGAGGCATCTAACACCACCTTCTCAAGATTTTGCAATGATTCAACAACAGCTTGAAGTTCATTTTCCCTTAGACCTCTTCTAAAACCCTAGTCCCATTCTATCCCTTCAAAGGAAGGAGACAAAAAGGAAAAAACATGAAATTAGTTCATGAACCATTAATTGATCAAAATAAACATGTATGTACTGTGTCTTGACTGATAGAAATTTTCTATTTTCACTTCGTATCAACAAGTAGAAAGTAAAGCAAGCTAAAGGAGAACCTTGCAGAAATTGGCAAAGATAACTGAGCTTCTCACTGCATATGGGCCAGCCAAATTCAATTTTCCTACAACAAATAGAAATATGTCCAGTGCACGCTCAGTCAGAGATATATCCATCTGCCAATATGCAACATGATGAACTGTTAGAACTGTATAAAGCACTATTCAAATATATAAATAAAAATAATTTCACAAATCAAGATTCTAACCTGTTTCATTCTAAAATAAAAATGAGCAGGCACTCCTTGAGAGACACTTTCTGAACCCTGAGATGCAAATCTAGAGCGGTAGAAAAGAAACATATTAACAGGGTGAACAACTTCCCTCCTGCAAGTCAAAAAGAAAATGTTTAAGCAGGGAATTCCTCTTGTACAGTTGTACCTCTGCTAAGATTATAAGAAACAGGAGGTTACGACCAATTCAGTTCTCCTTGAATACTCACCATGAGTTTCTTTGGGAATCAAAGTGATAAATAATTGCAGTACATGTACATATAAGTCTGGCTTTAGAAGGTAAAACTTGTATAACAAGTTGAATGTTATCAACACACGCCTGGAGGAGTGGGAAATTATCATTTGCATCTGGAAGTTCATGAACAATGGTGAGAATAATCTTGTTGAAAGTAACATTTATATGTGGGAGATTGATAGCCTGCTCAGAAGTTTGCTCTCTGTCTACAAGTGAACCCTGCTGAGTATCAGTTTCATGAATCTCTGTGGAGTGTTTATCTAACCTGAAAACATTGTTTACTGGCAAAAAATCATTGAACACTTTCACCTTGAATGGATTCCCAGGCTTCCTAACAAATTCTGGAACCCCATCAACAAAAGCAACAGCGGAATCACACTTATTCACAAGGTAAAAAATGTTTTTAGTATAGTTATTGTAAGGTTCCAGGTCATTAGCACTGTCATAACTCTCAGGCTTGTAAGCGAGTAGCCTCCAAAGTGCCCACCCACTATCTTTAGTGCTAGAAATGTCAACAAAACCTGATCCTGGGCGATAGTTCAAACGCAGTGGCTCCCCAGAATCGCTTTTAGCATACAATGATGTCAAGGAAAACCATGCCACCGGCAACCTCCACATACTTTGTTTGTGGTACTTGACCTGAACATAAGCTTGTTTTAAAAAGTCATGGTCAAGGAAGCTTCACAAAACATATGAAAATCCATAAATTTAAATAGGAATACAAGATTTTTGTGATGTATCCCAACATGAATCTTATTTAGAAATGTATTTTTAGAATTATTGTAACACATGTTTACCTTTTAAAAGCAAGATACCACATGTAATTTGTAAGTTCAATCATATTAGTCAAAAAAATTACTTAAAAATTCAAACCAATCAACTCCCTTGAACTTGCTAATATATGGTTCTCAAGACCAATAATACAGGTGCTCTTTCGGTAATCCACACCCTTCATGAATTGGAGGTGTTCATCCAAGAGGTAAAGATTCTTCAGGCATATTCTGGATCAGTGAGGTGGGGCAAGTTCATTTAAGCAGAAGCTTATACCCCTTCTGAAAGGTTCCTCATCTTCCCCATCTACTCAAGGTAGAGATAGATTGGGATTTTTAAGTGGTGGTGAGTTGGAAAAGAGAAGGAGCTGATGATCCTGAGGTTTATCAGCATCATATTAGAGTATCTTGTTCTACTGGATTAGGACTTGGGATATATGCTAATTATCTAGCTGACTCTTTGGCTAGAAGTGGTCACAAGGAATATTGGTTAGAGATTGTTTATCATATCAGGGAGATGGCCATCCTAGGTGCATGGGGAAGCTGTAATATGACAGCCTATGATTTCCAGGTATTTCTGTATTCCATTATTGCACCTCTCTTATTTTGATTGTGATTGTATAAAATTTGTTGATCTTATTACTGATCAAAAAAATGATTGGGGGGGTTGTAAATTTGACAAAGATATGGAACACATAAAGAAAAAGAAATCAAGTATTGAATTACAGTACGAAATCCAGAATTCACACACTTGTATTCCTGGATTCTTAGAACATTATTAAGGTGCACAATCACCTTGTAATTTATGTTTTGTAAGAAACTAGTTGTTTTCCTTCTTAAAGTGAAGCCTCTGGAACTTCTCTTTTTTAATCTCATGTTTCTTCTTATTATTAAGAAAAGGGGTGCACAAGGTATAAGAAAGTTGGCTGTTTTCCTTCGAACTTCCAATTCAGTCAGTATCTTCCAAAAATTACCCCACTCACATTCAGTCCATACACTGCTAAGTGCCAACAGCACCCACCTAAATTGATTGCACATATCTGAACGCAACAAACAAAGAACATCATGGTTAACAGCGTCATTATATTATTGCAGGAGAGAGAGCACTAAATTCTTGTAGCCTCAAGATTAATTCATAGTAAGGAGTAGTTGTCTTTTATTGCTCCTTTAGAGTTGTCCTTCACCAGTAAGAAGGGGAATCCTGATAGTTATAAAGGGAAACTTTTACAACTAGATTTGGAGAATTGTTGTTGAATGAAATCAAGATTTTCCATGAAACGGAAACATAATACCAAAACCTTATGTTCAATTTAACAAACCAGATTTACCCGAGAGATACATTTCATCAGAGTTAAATTCATATTTCATGAAGAGAGAGAGAGAGAGAGAGATTCATTCAAATGAAATGTAAAGCAATAGACTCCTACCCTGAAAAGAGCCCTTTCTCCAACAAGAGAATGGTGGAGCACACCAACTAAGCAGTATTTGTTTTCTGTTGCTTCAACAGCAAAATACATGTGCTGATCAATGTCTTGGATTGCAACAATAGATCCTGAGAAAATGATGAGCTTTATTTAGTTTTAGGTTCCTGAATGTACAACAATAACACCAATAGTACAAACAAAAAAATGACATAATCATCAAACAAGAGCGTCCTCCGTAAGGATGTATGCATATGTTTACTGTAATTTGTAAGTAGCTTTGGGGCTGCCTTTTTTTCGTGAGATAGATAACTTTTTAAAATTTTATTAATGTAGAAAAATAGTAGATTACAAAGTTGATCAGCCTCGCTTTGCCAAGCCATTTGCTAAACCATTTGCAGACCAAGGGGTTTGTTGAAGATTAATTAGTTTTATGATGTTTTTCTGAGTAGATGTTTTATGTTAGTTGTTAGATAGGAGGTGGGGACCACAGTAGTTATGTGAGTCCAAATTTTATTATGTTTTTGAGTGTTATGTATAATGTTTTATGTTTTGCCGCCCTATAAGGGCATAGTTGTCTCTATACTGTTCTATTATTTTAGTATAAATAATAAGTAAAGGGGGCGGCCAGATTATTGCTCTCTTTTCTTTCCAACTTCTCTTCTCTTCTTCTCTTTTTCTCGTCTTCTCCTTCTCTCTTCAAGAAACTACTTTTCTTTTATATTTTTTAATTCAGCAGATTTCTACTTGGTATCAGAGCATCGGCTAGGGTTTCTTGAAGCATTCTCATGCAGCCCTAGATCAGCAGACTGCATGAAGTAGTAAAGGGCTGATCGATCTGCTATAGATTGCCCAGTTCATGGAGTTTTTGGTGGGATCTAGTCATCAGGAAGGTGATCTACTGTTCGGCATCAAAATCAGGAAGAACTGGAGTACGGGGAAGAGTCCCAGAAAAGTTGGGACTCTTTTTTTTTTATCTGATCTTGGGTGACCAGGTATTGTTAGTTTCTTTTGATTTTCTGAAGAGGGCAGTTTGGTTTCTAGAATTTTCTAGGCGTCCTGGAGTGATTGATTCACTTCTCTCTGTTGTGTAGTGTGGGGATGAGAGAGATTTCCCTCCAACTAGGGTTTTCTTCTTCCGAAAGGGTTGGTTTCTGTGTGTGTGATATTAAATTATTTTTTGAACGTCTCCAATCTATTTTTTTCTTATTGTTGAACTAATTGAAGTAAAATGGAGAGTTGGAATACCGAGATGAAATTTACTGGTACCGTGGGACTGGGTGTTGGAGGTAGTAGTGATATTTTTGGGTCTGGGATCATTACTATAGTAAAACTTGATGGTACAAACTATTAGAGTGGGCATAATCAGCTAAGATGGCTATTGGTGCCCATGGAAAATTAGGATATCTCACTGGGGAGGAGAAGAAACCTGATATAGACTCTTCCCGATGGGTGCAGGAGAATTACATGGTAATGTCCTGGCTGTGCAATTCTATGTTACCTCATATTGCAAAAAAATTCCTATGGGCTAATACTGCTAAGGAGATTTGGGACGGAGTGACTAAAACCTACTCTCAGAAGCAAAATGAAGCCAGAGCCTATTAGTTAAGAAATCAGGTGATAAGTATGAAATAGGAAGAAAAACCTCTTGCTATGTATTTCTCCATGCTGAAAACCCTATGGCAGAAAATAGATCACTTAGAAACCGTGGTATGGGAAAGTGTAAATGATGCAGCAACTTATCATAGACTGGTAGAGAGGAATAGGGTTTTTGAGTTCCTGGCAGGGCTGAACCCTGAATTTGATATTGCTAGGCAGCATATTCTTTCTAGGGAGGGTGTGACACTCTCTCAGGCCTATGCCTTTCACTCTGGAGAGGAAAGTAGGAGGAATGTAATGCTGAGACAGCCTGGGATTGACCAGTCGGCTATGATTGGTACAACAAAACCTAAGCCGAATGGAGACAAGGGGAGTAGTGAGACTAGAATAGAAGGGAAGATAAGAAGGACTTGGTGTGTGATTATTACAAGAAGCCTAAGCATACCAGGGACACTTGTTGGAAGCTTCATCCAAATCTCATGCCTACTTGGATAATAAACAAGAATGGAAATGCAAATGTAGCCACTACGGGAGACTCTTTAGCCCCTCTCTCCCAAACTGATTGAGAATCCATTGCAATAGCAGCAGTGAGAACAGAATTGGAGAGTTTTGGACAGCTTATGAGTAAGAAAGATTCACCTAACTCTAGCCTTCCAGATGGACAGCAGAATTGAGGAGCCAACTACACCACTTCCTTTGCACATACAAGTAGTTCATATAAAACTGCAAATCTTGCATCCACTTCAGGTAAGGAGGGACCTCCTTGGATTATAGACATAGGAGCATCTGAGCATATGACTAGTGCCCCTACCATTTTCAGTTCCTATCAGTTGTGCTCTAGTAGAGGCAGAGTCTTTACAACAGATGGTTCACATATGCCCATTGCTGGGAAGGGGATAGTTAGAGTGACTAATGATATAACTTTGTCTTCTGTTTTACATGTCCCTAGACTTCATACCAACCTACTGTCTATTAGTTCTTTGACAAAAAATTTGAATTGTTCCGTGACCTTTCTTCCTGGTAATTGTGTTTTGCAGGATCTAGAGTCAAATAGGATGATTATGAGTGGTCGTGAGGTGAATGGAGTCTACCTTATGGATGAGATTCCAACACATCAGAGCCATCATGTTAGCGGCAACAGTAGTAGTGGATCAGAGTCAGTGAACCAGATTATGCTTTAACACAACCGTTTGGGACATCTTTCTTTTAGTTCTTTGAGATGTCTTTTCCCAAAGTTGTTTGAATTTGTTCAGTTATCTACTTTGGAGTGTGAGAGTTGTCAGTTAGGAAAGCATTGTAGACAGTCTTTTAAACTAAGTAATAAAAGGAGTACTTCTGCTTTTAATATTGTTCACATTGATGTATGGGGGCCATATCATATCCCTTCCATGGGAGGATTCCGTTACTTTCTCTTGTTTGTGGATGATAATACACAATATTCTTGGATATATTTGACGAGATCACATGATGAGGTTCCTAACTTGTTACGACAGTTCCACCAGATGATTCTTACACAATTTGGAGTGAGAACTAAGGCTTTTAGATCAGATAATGCTAGAGAGTACTTCAAGAAGGACCTGACCACGTATCTCTTAGAACATGGAGTTGCTGAGAGGAAAAACAGACACATTGTGGAGGTGGCAAGGAGTCTTATGGTGTGTGCTTCAGTTCCTGTGCAGTTCTGGGGAGATGCAATTCTTACAGCCGTGCATTTGATTAACAATGTTCATTCACGGACTTTGGGGTTTAAGGTGCCATTTAGCCTTCTTTTTCCAGATGGAGAGATATTTCATATACCTCTGAGGGTTTTTGGTTGTGTTTCTTTTGCTCACATTCTTAGCCCTCATCGCAAGAAATTGGATCCTAAGGCCAAAAATGTGTTTTTCTTGGGTATGCTCAGAACCAAAAGGGGTATTGCTGTTATGACCCAGTGTCGAGGAGCAAATTTGTCACTATGGATGTTACCTTCTTTGAATCCACATTCTTTTTCTCGAGTGGTTCTCCTCAGGGGGAGAGTTTTGGGGAGGAGAACTCACAATCTGTTCTTCTTCCTGTTTCTATGGTGCCTCCATCAGTTTAGCCAGCATCTACATCAATTCAACCAACACCTGCACCTCTAGTTTCATTACCTGAGCTACTACGAGCAACCTCACAGAAATATCAGTGCCCGCAGATGATGGTTGACTCCACACATCCTCAACCCACACCACTCTCTGTCAGTCCTTCTGAAACTCCTGATTCGGCAGATACAGTTCTAGGCATTCCTCTTGAGCCTGAGCCTGTTATGTTTTCTAATGATAATGTTTCTGTCCCTAACACCTTTGTTGCAGCTGATCCCACTGACCTTGATCTTCCCATTGCACTTCGTAAGGGGAAGAGAAAGTGTACAGCCCATTGCATTTCATATCATCTTTCCTACAGTGCCTTATCACCCTCCTACCGTGCTTTTCTTTCTTCCCTGGATTTTGTGTCTATACCCAAGAATGTTACTGAGGCTCTCTCCAAACTTGAGTAGAGAACAGCCATGCAAGATGAGATGGATGCTTTGATCAAAAACCAAACTTGGGAAATAGTTGATCTCCCCCCAAACAAGGAGACAGTCGGATGCAGATGGGTATTCACAATGAAGTATAAGGCTGATGGCAAGATAGAGAGGTACAAGGCAAGGTTGGTAGCAAAAGGGTATATTTAGGCCTATGGTGTTGATTATCTGGAAACCTTTGCACCAGTAGCTAAGATGAGTTCAGTCCGTATCCTTTTATCTCTAGTAGCCACCTATTCATGGCCCTTGTTCCAGCTTGAAGTCAAAAATGCTTTCCTTAATGATGATTTACAGGAGGAGGTATATATGGACATTCCAACAGGCTTTTATGAAAATGTTGGTAAAGGAAAGGTGTGTAGACTAAGAAAATCTTTGTATGGACTGAAACAGTCACCTAGGGTTTGGTTTGACAGGTTCAGAGGGGCACTCATCCGTTTTGGATACACACAGACGCTGTCTGATCACACCCTCTTTGTGAAGAGAAGAGATGCTCTGGTGTTAATTCTGATTGTGTATGTGGATGATATAGTGGTGACAAAAAATGATCTGGAGGAGATTGATGATCTCAAAAAATCATTGCAGCAAGAATTTGAGATCAAAGATCTTGATGAGCTCAAATACCTCTACAGGAGACTAGGAAGCTGGGGACCAAACCAGCAAACGCTCCTATTGATCCAAATCACAGAATTAATGGTGTGGAAGGTGAGTTGTTGGTAAAGGATGTGGAGAGATATCAAAGAATTTTGGGCCGACTGCTATATTTGTGTATGACACGACCAGATATTTCTTATGCTATCAGTGTTGTGAGTCAGTACATGCATGCACCTCGGGTTCAGCACTGG